AGGGTATAGTAGGGTTTTGGTAGGGTTTAGGGTTGAGGGTGTAGGGTATAGTAGGGTTGAGGGTGTAGGGTATAGTAAGGTTTAGGGTTGAGGGTGTAGGGTATAGTAGGGTTTAGGGTTGAGGGTATAGTAGGGTTTAGGGTTGAGGCTATAGTCGGGTATGGTAGGGTATAGTAGGGTTTAGGGTTTAGGCTTTAGGGTATAGTAGGGTATAGTAGGTTTTAGGGTTTAGGGTGTCGGGTATAGTCTGCTTTAGGGTTTAGGGTTTATAGGGTATAGTAGGGTTTAGGGTTCAAGGTTTAGGGTTTGTTGCTCCATTTCCACGGGGTTGTGCGGTACCAAGTTCGGTGGGGTATGAATTGTTAATCTTTTTTCAGTTGGGTCTAGGCTTCAGTTTCTTCTTTTTCAGCTTGGTTAAGGGGGTTTAGGGTTCCGTATGTTCTTTTTCAGTTGGGCTTAGGATTCAGTTTGTTCTCTGGTTCAAAAGGGTTTTTAGGATTCAGTTTTTTCTTTTCCAAAAAGGTTTAGGGTTCTGCTTGTTTCTTGTTGAAAAGGGTTTAGGGTTTAGGGTTAAAGGATGCCAATTATACGGTGAATTCTCAGGTTTTCCATAGTGGCCACTAGAAGGTCTGCTAGAAGGGTTGCTATTGTTATCGGCTTTCTGGATTTCTATAAGCGTTGCTACGAGGTTTACTCTGATTGGGTGGGGCTAGCTGTAAGGCCAAATTAAAGGGTTACTGTAAGTCGAGGGTTACCGCAAGGGTTGAGTAACCTAGTCAGCATTTGAAGCTTCAGAAAAGGTGGGATGAAGGCAGGTATATGGGATTAAGGCTGATTAAGGATCCCTTATACAAGGACTCGTTTTGGGATTACCCCACCTACCTTCATCTCACCCTTGGAGCCCTCCGACATTGTAAGGGTCCACTTCGGGTTCGCGACTTGGGCTCTCGAAGGGTTTGGGTTATCCTTGCTCGTCTTATCATAGGGACTACTTCAAGGCCAAAGTCTATACTATTTGGGTATATATGGTCCTTTTGTTATAGATAGAACCCTTGGTCCTAGACGGCTTCACTGGCTTGTTCGATGCCTTCGGTTGACGTGCTGGTGTTTTCAGTTGCATGTGCTGTAAGTCTGAGCAGCACGCGATACTAGAAACGAGTTCATGTTCATCAGCGACAGGACAAGGCTGATGTCGATGGTGGCCACTAACAAAAAAGCCTCCCTAAACCTCAAACCCGAAACCCTAAGATAGTTTGCTTGAGGCTGAAAGCTTCCCCGTGTAGGGTTTAGGGGAGGCCCCAAGCAATAGATCATACCTATAGTGTCCATTGTAGTTCCTTTTTGTGGGTGAGCCACACTTATATCCTAGGATCCTCATCATGAAGTGGTGAGCCAAAAAAGGAACTACAACGGAGACTATAGGTACTAGACCCAAAAGTCTTACCCTTGAGCTGCAAGAGCTCGTAGCCACCCAGCAGACCCTTCGAATCTAAGCCCACGGACCGATCGTATGCTATAAGTTACTAAAATGTATACTACATAATGTATTGAACAATATTCCAGATGAGATACAGGGTAGAATACACTGACTTAGATATACAGAATTATATATCTCAACGTAGTATAATATATACCATAATATACCATAGCAGACGATTATATATACTTAATAGTTTACTGAGCAATATACCTTCGGGATAACCTGGATTTCCCGCAGTTGCCACTCGAAGTCTGACAGGCGAAACCTGGACCTTAGGGTTTATGGGGTTTAGGGCAGCTGCTTCCGGGGAACAGCAAACGCAGGCAGCACCTTCTTTCTAGCATGATCGCACCTAAACCCTAAACCCTAAACCCTAACTATTGCTTCTCTCAGACACTCGTCAAATCCGGCTCCACACCGATTTCGCCCCTGAGACGCCCAAGCCTCATGGTTCTCAGAAGGTTTCGTTCACAGCCTTGTCAGACTCTTCAGCTTTCATTTAGGGGTTTAGGGGTTTAGGGTTTAGGGTTTAGGGTCCTGGTATATTGCTTCATGTGACTGTCGCGTGCTTGCCGGCACTTCAGATAGGGTTTCCTGGGGTGTATTGTGTCTTCGTCCACCTGCTTGGTTTCAGTACATGTTTCTCGGTCGCACTTTCAGATGTCAGAATTTTGGGGTTCGGGGTTCAAGGCTGCAACAGTAGCTCGAACTGTAAGCTGTGTTGCAGTGATCGACAGTAATAGCACGAAGTACTACGCATTGTGAAGACAGCAGCGAATGTGTCGGGAGCTACTTTCCTCACTTCTACAACTTCCAGTCAAGCATCATGGGTACTGTGTATATGAATAGTATGGTTCGCCGGTCATAGCTACAGCAGTGCTGGCTAGGCACTCTTCCTCCTCCTCCTCTTCCTCCTCCTCCTCCTCCGCCTCTCCTGACTACTACTGCTACTGCTAATGCTACTGCGAATGCTACTGCGAATGCTGCTGCTACTGCTACTCCTCTACTCCTACTACCCCTACTACTACTAGGACGACGAAGACGACGAAGACGCCGACGAAGACGACTACTGGTGCTGCTGCTGCTGCTGCTGCTGCTGCTGCTGCTGCTGCTGCTGCTGCTGCTGCTGCTGCTGCTGCTGGCTGCTGGCTGCTACCACTTCTTTTCGATCTTCTGGCCACTATGACTGCTTATTTCTCCTATGCCTAGTTGAGCTATATGGGTAGCTGTCAAAATTAGGGTCCCTTTTGGGGTACCCTAAATAATAGGTGCCGTATTATAATAAGGACCCAAAAAGGGACCATAATTTTGACAACCACCCATATGCTCACCGATCCTGAGAGCAAGCCTCAGGTGTGAAGCCCGCCAACGACAGCACGGCCTCGCCTGCAACGCCGCCATGGCCCCAAGTGCCCTAAATCATGGGTTCAGGGTTTAGGGTTTTAGGTTGTAGGGCTTAGGGTTTGGGGTATAGGGAGCTGCAGTAGCATCAGTATATTTTGTACTTCGAGCCCTGTCTGCTATGCTCCAAAACCCTCCTCTCTAATTATCACGACCCTTGGCCCTTACATTTGCCCGCAGGTCCTGCAGAAACCCAACATCCTAAATCCCTGCGCCCACGAAAGGCTTTCCCAAAGGGTCCTATGTACCTATATAGTGGAATGTAAGGTTTCGATATTAGGAATGACGTACTATTATGAGTTCTGGAAATACCCCCATAAAAGAAGCGATCGTGAGCCAATCCAAGCCGGGTTTAGGCCCTTGGGTTTAGGGTTTCGGGCCTAGGGTTTAGTGTGTAGGTGTAGGGCCTAGGGTTTTACATCCTAAGCCCTTATTAATAGAACCCTAAACCCTAAACTTATGTACTCCTGATAGCATAAAACCGTTGCACCCTGAAACCTGGAACTCTTGGGTGACGCCACCTTAAAGCCCTCAGCCCTTAAAGTGGGAATGCACGGTGCTGCCTAGACCCTAAATGCTCTTAGGAGCTTCAAAGGCAGACCCTGAAAGCCTAAGCCCTTTAAACCCTTATAGATAGTACCCTTACACACTGAAGTCTTGGTTTAAAACCCTACCTGCACCCCAAAAATATGTAGCATCATGGCCGTTTATCGGTTTTGGGGCCATTATTTTATCTACGTTGGGTGGTTTTGGTCAACCCTAAATAAACCCTAAACCCCTAAACCCTAAACCGTTTAACCCTAAACTTTACCTAAGCCCTAAACTAAACCAGATCGAAGGTCTTGGCGTCGGAATATCGCGCGTCCACAGCTGCCAGGACAACCGGGCCAGCGCCTCAATCAGGGACTCGGAAGGATCCCTTAATTAAGGAACGTAATATAGGGGCCTCAATAATTAGAATAGGGTTTTGCGGCACATTTCTTCTATAGTGATAGTACGGAACCCCAAAATAAGGGAACATAATGTAGGGGCCTAAATAATTACCTAAGTGTACTATTTGGGGGTTCCTTATTATAAATATAATATGAAGGGCCCCAAGAACCTATTCTAATTATTAAGGCCCCCCATATTACCCTAAATGGTAATATCAAGGCCTCTGCAATTTAAGGTATATTCCTTAATTAAGGAACATACCCTAAATCATAATAGAAAGGCCTCTGTGATTTAAGGTATGTTCCTTACTTAAGGAACATACCCTAAATCATAATATTAAGGCCTCTGTAATTTTGGGTATATTCCTCAATGCAGGGGTTTGGGGTTCTCTGGGTATTAGCCCAGACCTGTTTAGGGATAAGGGTCCGAGATATCCCTTAATCGAGGATGTAACTCTAAGGGTCCAAATACCTAATGATCATATACTCTCCCAAACAGTAACCTACATAACTACTATCCGAAACCTACGTACCTGATTATTGGGTGCTTTGGACCCTTGGGGTAACTACCCTTAGCCTGAAATCATATAAGGGGTATCCCATTGTAGGTTAAGGTATATTCCTTGTTTACGTGATTTGAGGGATGATATTGGAAGGGCTGGGGGGGGGGGGGGGGGGGGGGCTTATGTTACCGTGCGACCATGAAGCAATGACCTCTCGCAGCTAGGGAGAATGGGGGCGTGCCGGAAATGGGGGGACATGGTGAGGCGCGAAATGTGGCAGAAAGGTTGCATCGTTGCCAGTGCGCCGCTTTGTTTTCGGCTTCCCGACTTGACGTTGTTTTCCACTGGCGCTCTAGACCTTGCCATGCTACCAACTTAGACGCTCACGCAGTCCAAAACCCGAAGTGCCTCAGCCTTGCATTTTGTCGAGCTCGGCAGGAGTGGCAGGCGCTGAGCTCTGAAGAGTGTGCAGAACTCGAAAGCTGTGGTCAGAGGTGCTAACCGACAGCTTTTGGTTCTTGTCGGTTTCGGGATGTTGTGTGCGGTCATGCTTGGGCTCAAACCTTGCGTTTGTATACTCAGGTGTTGCCAGTTTGAGGTGGAACGTATGAGGCTTTGGTAGCTGCTTCAGATATAAATCCCAAAGGGTGTCTTCAACTTGTTTGTTCAACAGGCTCTGTGAACATGTCGGCAGGTTCGGCGTTGCAGAAAGATGGGAGAGTTGGTTGCAGGGAGAAGACGAAGTGTTGTCCAGAAATTGTGGCCTTCGTCTGGAGACCCACGCAGTGCTGCCGGTGCAGCAGGCGCTCTGCTGCAGACGTGAGGCAGACTCTCCTGCAGCAGAAGGAGTGCATCAAGCCTATTTGCGATTCATTTTGCGCCCTCCCCTTGCCTGCGCCAGTGCAGATTTTCGATTCCTTGATTCGAACATGCCGAGCAAGCTCCGCTGACAGGAGCAGATACAGTGTCGGCAGCCAGTACGACCTGCTCCGCAGCCTCTTGGTTTGCCGGGATTGGTAAGCTACAGACCTAGTGACTTAGTGCAGCATCTGACGGCTCCCTCGCCTTCCTTCAGTCGGAAGGGACTTGCAAGTATACGGTTCTTGATTCCCTCGCCTCAAGAGCCACACTCTAAGCCTTGGGGCGGGTTCTTGGGTTGTGGTGTCGACTTTTAGGACAACGTGGATTTGCGTAGTCGCACGCGGACCAACATGCACAAGCAATGCCACAATACTGTGCCGGTAGATCTTGATCCTCCAGCCTTAGCGGTCCCATGTTCTAAGGACGCGTGTCGGCGCGAAGCACAAGCCCCTGGCGGTCCCAGTGTTCCCCATCAAGAGGCCGCAATTGCACCTGTAAGCTGCTTCGGAATGTAGGAGCCCTCAGCTTCAAGATCCACTGCGGGCACGAGTACCGGTCTAGAGCTACTCTCTAGTGCACGCCGCCGCACCACAGCTCTGCCCCTTCAGCTCTCATCTGCAAGCCCTTTCCACAAACCTCTGCGTGGAGTTCGTGTCGGTCGGTTCGTCTCGGGAGGTGAGGTGATTCGGTTTTGGAGTGTACTGTCATGAGAGATGCTTTGTGTAGCACATTGCTGCTGAGTCCAAGATGGTGATTCAAGCTGCCTTGCGCAACTTAAGGCTGCATCGCGGATAGAGCTAGGATCCAGACCCTAACAACTCTCTTAAAACCACCGGGCCAGTGCTAGGGCGGCGCCCGAAGGCTGTTCACGACAGGAGCTCCGGGGATCGGATGTGCTGGGTGAAGGGTCCAGATGCGGTGAGTGCTTAGAGCTCGCTTTGCTCACTGAGCCTTCTGTTCCGATGCGTGTCACCCGCCAGGACCTGGCTGATAACCTTCGACGGCAGGCGGGGTGCAGGGCGAGGTGGAAATTATGTACAGTTAGGCTTGTAAAGGACCTTCGAACGGGTCTCGATCTCTGCGAATGCATCTCTTCGCAGGGCGTAACCCCTTCTTAAATCTGGATGCCTGGGGGGCTGCTGGAAGTTCCAAAGCAAACCGGCGATCTTGCCAGCGACTTGCCGCCAAGCGAGAGCCGTGAGGCCAAGGCCACAGCCAGGCTAGGGCCGCTAGGGCCTTGCGGAGACCTGGAGACGGTGCCGGGCCTCGGTGCTTCTTTGGGCACCTAGATTCAGATTTGGACTTCCGCGTTTTCGGGTGATACTGTGTATATAAAAGTTGTAGATGGTTGTTTGTAGGATTTGCAGCTTGCCGGAAGTTTGGGCTCTTGGGCCCGTCTGGCTTCGAGGGTTTGCAGGCACCTTTTTCGGAGGTGGCTTGAGGTCTCATGCCTTCGGGCCTTGCGCTGTTTGTGACTTTAGAGTCTTCGTCTCAGAATGTGCGGACCTGCGAATTTGAGAATTTGAGGTGTTCATCTTTCTGTGGAATGCTTGCTTGGCCCCGGCTGACGTTTCAGGGGTCTTCCTGAGCCTCTGGCCGTAGGCCTTGGTGCTCGGGCCATGCTTTAGGCCCTTAGGCCGCTGAGTTAAAATAGACACAAGCCAAAACGTTGCAGCAGGGCTTGGGCTTTTGTGTGAAGTTTCTCGAACCCCGAGCCCTGATGAGAGGAAAGTGCCCAGATCCTGGGGCCCCGGCTGTCCTTCGACTGGGAGGACAGTTTCTGAGGGTTCTTGATTTGTTGTCGGACCTCAGGGTTTTAGAGCGAGGACATAGCCTTGCTTCGGTTGAACGGCCGTTTTTGTGCTTGTTGCACTTTTTTTTGCAAGCCGTCCCCTTGTGCAGTTGTGTATCTTTCTCTTCTGAGCTTTCCATACGCCTTTCGGGGTTGGGAGGCAGCCCGTCAGCCCGTACGGGGGCTTTAATTCCAACAGCTGACGCGGACGGTCGTGTGCAGGTTTGGGGTCTTGGACAGACATGAAGCGAACACGCAAGGATGACGACGTGGAAAAGAATCGGAGATGCAGGGGGTCGTGGATTGGGGATTCGGAAGGACATGAGACTTACAATTTTGGTCCCTTCGCCCTGCCCTCATCATCAAGGAGGCATGTTCTAGTCTTTGGGCCTCTTGAGGTCGTCAAAGAGATGTCAAGTTGCAGTGTTCGATGCCAAGCAAGAAAGCCAGTGCGTCATCATGGTGAGAAAGATGACTGACAACTTTCATGATCTCTTGGTTTTCAACGTTACGCTGGCAACGAGGTGCTTTGGCCTCTCCCGCAGAATGTGCGCTTCCAACTCAAGGGGAAGTGCACAAACGATTCCTCTTGTAGTGCGGCAGTTGTTGTTGAACGCCTCATTGGACACTTCCATTCTACAATAGTCGGCCTCACCTTCTCGAGCTTCTCTAGCCGCACTCGCGGTGCAGCGCTGGGACCTGGCGCCTAACTCTAGTCAAAGCCAAATGCCGTTTCTCATGGAATACAAGCCCAACAAAGGACCAGGAGGAAGGATCCGCGGAGCTCATTGTCACTCCTGCCGAGGCGAGATACAGATGCAGATCTAAGCTTTAGTTGCAAACTGGTCTGATTGCCATTGGGGTTTGAGTAGCCCGAAACTTTCCTCACTGCATGCAGAATGCGCCGGTTCCATGCAGCACAAACCAGGCATAGCCGCTTGGAAGGTCACAGTCACAACCGAGCACATGTGCTGTTTGGCGCGGCTGGCCTAGCGAAGCGTGAATATGTGCGAGTGAAGATTTGAAAACGAACACAAAACCAACAAACTACTGCAGCATTGCGGAAGCATGTTGCGCTCCCCGTGCCCGGTTCTGTCCTAGGGTCAGGTTGACTGACTTAATCCGTTGATGAGTGGCAGCGTGTGTGTGTGTGTG